GGAAAAATTAATATCAGATTCATTCAGGATTTTTAACACAGGTGAGTACAAAAATACTGTGTTCCACAGATGTAATAGAATTGAGGAAGTGTGCTTCAAAAGTTCCTACTCGCTGGGGTTTTATACCTTGTATAGGAAGGGAAAGCACAGGAAATGACAGGGAAATACATGATAAATGGTTAAATAACTTTCTTTAAAAGTCCTGTCTCCTAAACCTCTTGGAAATTGCCTGGTTTATTTAAGATACTCCAGTAAAGGCTGTGGTTAGACCTGTGGGATCAGAGAAGTTTGGGATAGTGTTCTGGGATATGATCACAAGTTGGGAATTCCCTAATGAATTTCACATTGAGGATGCTGGGGAAGCATTTTTTAATGGTTGGTGGAAACTGATTTCTCTAGTAGTGGGAATGATCTACTCATAAGCCTGTGCCTGACATTATTGTAGTTTAGAGATAAGTGGTTTTCAACTTTGTCTCCCAAGTGAAGTTTCCTAAAATAATTCCTCAGTTATGGCCTCAATCTGAGTGTAAGACAACACACTTGACAGCAGGCTGGGATTTTTTGTTGTTGTTCTCCTTCATGAACCTCTTTGAACCAAGTTTGTGCCCCACAAATTGAAAGCCTCTATTGGAAGCACGGGGTTTTTTATAATAAATGTGAAAAGGGAGATTAAGTATTTTCTGAGGAAATAGATGTATTGTAATTTGGGGTTAGGGCAATAATGCTGGAAAAAATAGCAAAACCTAGGGACTGTTCTCGAGAACACTGCAATAATCGGTAAAAAAGACATCTTGTTTCTTGGATGAGTCATTTGGAAATTTTTAGCATTTGTTAGGGTAGCAAAGCTACATGTTATTCCCCCTGACAGCAAGCAGGAACACTAGCCCCTAAAAGGACTGATATGGTGTCAAACTCAAATATAACATTTCTGATTGAACAACCATAACTCCTCTTCTAGGAGCCCAAATAGATTTTCATTTCAGCTGTGCTGTTTTACTTAAAATCAGTTCTAAATATTTATGATAACTTAAAAGCCGTAATGTACAAATAATTTTGCTCTTGCATGTTATACCAGATTGAGACAAGGAATAAGAGATCTCTAAAAGGTTAAGTTGCTCTACCTAAAAAGGAACAACCCCCTTGTAATGTATTGTTTATTTGCATCTAGTCCCTTGTAAGGATTTTATAGGTTCATTGCTGAGCTGTGCTGGATACTCTTTGTAGCAAATATGTGTGGAAATGGGAGGGGACAAGGTAGGGGTAAGCAGCAGTCTGGAGGGGAGGTGAGAATAAAACACGGTTTTTTTTTTTTTCCCCTGTCTTTTGCCCTCCCCAGCCTCTCCAGTCTGCTCTTGTACTTGTCGAGGCATCAAGAAACTGGATACAAAACCCTTTGGCTAGTATGGAGTCCTGTGGATTATTAACTGGAAGAATAACTTGGGGAATTGGAAACACAAGAATAGGTCATTCCTCGCTTTTTCCAACCTTTATTGGAGCAGAAGCTGAATGTAGTTAAGCAGGCATTTGTGACCAGCTGCAGTTTTTGTAAGGCACTTTCCATGGGACTCACACTGAGGCTAGGTCACCAGCCGTGCTCACTGGGACCGCGCAGCGCTCTGGTCCAGGGAGGGCTCTGTTTGCAGCCTCTCTGCTCCCAGCTGTAACGGGAAGCGGTGGTATTGGGCTGTCACTGCTCTGAGGTGGGGGTCCTTGGGGCTGGCAATTAATATAGGGTTGTTGCAAAGTGTCTCCTTCTCCTTCCTCCCAAATGAATAGAGGGAGTGTTTGTTAGAGAAATCAGTCAGCAGTGTGAGTGGTTTTTTTCTTCTTTCAACCCTCAGACTTACGGCAAGAGCTAGCAGTACGGGAGAGGCAACAAGAAGTCACCCGAAAGTCAGCGCCCAGTTCTCCAACTCTAGACTGTGAAAAGATGGATTCGGCTGTCCAGGCGTCTCTCTCCTTGCCAGCTACACCTGTTGGAAAAGGATCAGAAAATAGTTTTCCTTCCCCAAAAGGTATAATTCATAGAAACTAGTGTGTAGTTGTTTGGCAGTACGTTCAGCTTGTTAACAAGCAGTTTCAGACCAGGTGCTTGTTAGTGAACTTGAAGTAAATGTAGGTACGTGTGGATCCCACAGGCATTGCATAAGATGTGTTTAAATCCTGGGGCAGCATCAGGTGCATTTAAGGAGTGTAATGAGTAAATACCACAGAAAAGAAGGACAGTGAAGCTTAGATACCACTTCTGGGGGAGGTGGGTGGGAGGGTTGCACTCTGCAGTAGATGCCTGCAGTAGAGCACTGAAGACATTTGGGATTGCAGGGAAGTGCGGTGACTGATACTTCTGCTTAAATGTGGAGTAGCAGTGGTGAGTAAAAAATATACTTTTCAGGGATCCTGTTTTCTCTGTGAGACAGCGGGATGTTAGTCCAGTCCCCTTCCCCATCTGGAAGGCTCTGGACAATCGCAAGGATTAATATATTATTTTTCAAATTAGAAAGAGTAGATTCCAGAGGAAGCTCTGGCTGGATTAGATGAATTGCAGGCAATAGCCTTGCAGATGGAGAGTGCATGAACTCTGTGTGTAGATCTAATGGGAAAGAGGGCAGTGGACAGCAATTAAGCTTTTTCGTTTTTCCATGGCTAGTGATTGTGTAGTCTGTGTGTTACTGTGGGGTAATGGTATGAATAGTCTGTAGTAGGATTTTAGATTTACCTTTTAACATGGAAGTTGATTTATTTAAACTAAAAAAAAAAACCAAAACGACATGGAGGAGTGGAGTATATAATAAAGTGTGTCTGTGTTTGCAGCTATACCAAATGGGTTTGGTGCCAGCCCCCTTACTCCTTCAGCTAGAATATCTGCACTCAACATTGTGGGAGATCTGTTACGGAAAGTGGGGGTGAGTGCTCTGAACTGAAGTATTCCTAGCTCTGCGCTGCAGTCACTGAGCTTTCATCCTTGTGTGCAATTACAACAAGGTCTTGGCCCATGCTGAATACATGCTGTAGTTTCCAAATCAACCACATTCAATGTCTAGTATGTGATAATGTTTTTTTTTTTTAAATTATCTTGATTTGTAAAGCATGTTGCTAAGGTTCTTACGCCAATTTTGGATGACGAAATTCATATTTGGATAAAAAGTTTCTCAAGCACTTTGATATATGGGGTTAGACACCGTCAGCCACTTGTTACTTTAAATGGGGCCTGCAGCTTCCTCTGTAATGAGACCAAGATGCAGAGCTGGACCTCAGACTCTGGGTGTCTGCTGCACAGTTACTGTATGTCATCGAAAGGGAGCCGAGATCACGCTGACAGTCTCCTTATGTGCCTGGGGAGATCTCCAACAGGTGCCGAAAATGGAAAAAAATTTAGAAACCTTTGATAAGAAAGTGAGAAAATAAGTCAGGAGAAAGCCAAATGTTCCTGTCTGTAGTTGATGGGGAAGTGAAATGCGTGAGCCTTTAAAGGGATTACCACTATAAGCAGGGAAGAAGTGGTTTAAACATCTGTTACAGTGTTGTTTAGGATGCCAGGCTTTCCAGTTGAACAAAGACATGACTTTTGAGTTATGAGAAGCTTGTTGAGGTGCCTCAGCAGTTAGTGTTTTGAGTGGAAGCATCGATAGCCTTGGTGTCTAGCCTCTGGTGCTGGCTTTCCTCTGTCTCTTGTGGTTAACACTGAGAACAGCAATAGCTGCAGTAGAGACAGTTGTTTTAGCAAAGTTTGAAATTAAAAATTACCTTGTTGCTCGCATTTGGAGCCAGTGAGCTCGTAGTTGGTTTGAAAGGACAGCAGGACAACTCGGGTTCTGGAGTGACATGTTTAAAATGGGATCATTGTGAGTAAGAGTCTGCAGGGGATTTAGGGAGCTTAATCACAATCCCGTGTGATTACTCTGCAAGGACAGGAAATGCCAAATAAGCATGTTTCTTTCCCAGCCTGCTCTTAGACACACGCTCTGCCACTGAGACAAAATTCTACCTCATGCATTTGTTTAGTAACAATTATAGGATGTTCAGGATTTCTTTGGGTTTGGCTACTCATAGGATGCCTCGTCCCAGGCTTTAGACTCCCTTTCTCTGCAAGAAGGTTTCCCTCAGCTTTCTTGCTTGCGGTTGAGACAGGGAATCACTTGGCACAGATCACACTGGCTGTTTCCAGCTGATAAGTGCTTTGAGACCAAGAGATAGGTCAATATCTATATCTTCCTATAGAGTCACTAAGGAAGCTTACATGTGTTTTTAGAAGACTGTGTAGTGTTCAGTTACTTCTGATAGCATGTCAGAACCTTATTAATGGAATATTTTTCTGTGTGGAACAGGACCAAGCCTCATGTTTGGGGAGATGAGTTTTTGTCTCAAGTGCATGCGTCTGCAAGTGTGTGAATGCCCCCATGCACAGGGTGGATATAGCATATAGATTTTCTGCTGGACCAGATGGATATTCATCAAGTTAAGCTTCAGTTTGTGGTAGACGGCAGAAAGGGCAGGTGATGTTCTGAAGTGAAGGAGAGATTCAGGATTTTGGTCTCCTTCCTGCCAGGAGTCAGTGGATGAGGCAGAGACTGTCACCTTGTGTAGGGGAAAAAGATTTCACCAGGCTTGCTTGGAAGTAGTAGGGATGGGGTACAGACCATGGAGATGGGCTTAGCTGCTGCCTTTGATTCCTCCTTGTGGTGTTGTGGCTGTAGCACCTCTTGTTCTGAAGCATATCAGTGGGGCTTAAGAAACTGGCAAGGTTTTGCAGGCTGAGATTAAGAAAGAAATGCTAGAAGGCATCGTCCTGGGGAAAAATCCAACTTTCCAAATACACAGTCCCTCCCAAAACTTGAGGATTCTACTTTAGGCTTTCTCTTACTCTTCTGGTTAACTTATGCCAGCCCCACTCCAGTTGCTGAAGCAAGAGGTTTTGGTAACTTCTACTAAGAATTGGCTTCCTTTTTGTAGGTATTTAATAGTTGATATGTTCTAAAATCTGAGCCCTAATGGAAGCGAGTCGTGCCTGGCAGTCTGCATCAGCATCTCATTGTGTGGGTTTCCTTTGTGACTGGGTGACAGAGAAAATGACAGCTTTTTTCCCATTTAGTTCAGTTTTTGCCAAAGGTGATTACACTGGAGCCCTGATCATGGTGATCTTGGGGTCATGACAAAGCCTGAACTTGAGCAGCAAAATGCTTTCTCTTAATGATACTACTTTTTTAACATTATTTTTTCCTCCCTTTCACAGGCCTTAGAATCCAAATTAGCTGCTTGCAGAAATTTTGCAAAGGACCAGGCATCACGGAAATCCTACATTTCAGGGAACGTTAACAGCGGCATGATGAACAGCAATGGCACAAAGTACCCTCATCCAGGGCATACTTCTTTCTTTGACAAAGGGTAAGTTGGGATATATTTTTGCCCTGAAGGGGAGTGCGTTTCAGGATGCTACCTGGAGCAGAAGTTTTTCCTGGCTTGTTTTTAGCCCACCACAGCTTTCATTCTATAGGACAAATAATTTCTGGAACCAAAGTCTCAAGGGGACAGGGAAGGTGACAGTACTGAAGCAAAGAGAAAAGCAAGCGTGATTGTCTCTTAGCTGGTAGGATGTCAGTGCCTGTTCTGTCCCTCTGCTGCCTAATCTCTTGGCAGCTGCATCTCAGGTAATACAAAAACCCCAGGCAGCAAACCCGCTAGTGAAGTCATCGTGCCCTTTTGAAAGGATCTCAAGTAAGCGGTGGTGGAGTTGCCATAGCTACTGGTGTGCTCGTGCGTGGGGAAGTACTTTAACCGCAAATCTGGAGATTCCCTTGGTAAGAACAGCTGAGTGCAGGTGGCAAATGCTCACTTGGAGGGTGGTGCCCTGTTCTACTTCCCCCTCTATTAGGGGAAAAGAAAACCTCATTAACAGTGTAATTCTGGCTCATTGAGGGGGTAACTGCCTCCATGCTGGCTGTGCTGTGCATCAGCCCTGAAGCCAGAAACTGCTTTCACAGGAAAAACTACCCCATATGTCTCCTGTGACTTGCCCGTGGTCAGAGCTTCCTCTCGGATACAGGAAGATTTTCCCCACAGTCCCTCATAGCACAGGGCCCAGTGGTTGTATGAGGAGCCCTGTGGAGCGAGGCGAAAAGCACAGCACTCCTCCAGTGTTAGCAGGGTAGTATTGCAAGCTTTGCTTGGTGTCACTGGGCAAAACACCCTCCATGCTCCCTGCATGGTAGTCTTCCATGCTAAACCTCAAGCCAGTGCAATTTAATGCTAATATCCAGCACATCCTCAATCCAGAATTTATTTTGGAGAATTAAATGAGCTGTTACCAACCTAAAGAGTGCCATATACAAAGCAGATAAACTGAGCTTCCTACAATCATCCTCATTTGAGCTGAATCGTGTTGCTACGTGGGTAGCAGGGCAAGTTGCATCTTAGAAACTGGCATTCAGAGTTTTTAGAGCCACTGTTGTTTGTTCCTTTTGGAAAGGAAGAGTTCAGAGACTTAAAGTCAGTGTCATGTGCAAAGAGGACAGACTTGTGGGTTGTCTGCATACTGCAAGCTGATGGGGATCCATGCATCACCATGGCAGTGCTCACACCTGCAGTGCAGAGGCTGCATTTCAGGTGCAAGCTGTCAAGGTAGTTGCTAGGGAGAGATTATAGCTGTTCTTAGGAGGCAGCGTGGCTATATTGAGTTCTGGTGTGACAAATAAGCTGATTACTATGTGGGGTGGGTGACTTTTAATTATCCAGATTGTCGTCACACTTGTTATCGGGGCTGGCTGCCTGGAGTTAGGAGCAGTTTGTAGCTGAAAAAGGCTTAGAAACCCAGCCTCCTGATAGGTAACTTCTACAAGAGAGTTGGAGGATGTTAGTGGGCTAGTTAAGGGGGTGGAAATGACTGATGTGCTTATCTGCAAGTTGTTAGAGATTCCTGCATGGCCCTGCTGTCCTGTCCCTCTCCTCTGCACCCCTGAATGCTGCTCACCTCTCTCCTTATATCAGCTCCTGCTCTGCCTTCCTGCCCCTGTCGAGGTCTGTGCATGCTGGGGGTGATGGCAGTGTTTGTGCTGTGTACACATCTCCACGGCTGCTATGTAAAACCTGTATAATTTTGTCTGCACATGTAAGTTAAACCAAGCTGTTACCTAAATGAGGTCAGCCCCATCATGCCTGCATGCTGCAGCAGCAGCCGAGCTCCCAGTCGTGCTGGCACGCGTCGCTGGCAGGCGTCAGATCCAGAGCGCGCTGTGGTGGCTGGGCATGAGGGGCTGAGTCAAGGCATGCCCTTTCTTCTCCCCTCTCCTCCTCTCTTTTCAGGCCCTGTACTCTCCTCCCTGCCCCTAATTGTTGCTGGAGCCTGTAACAGCCACGTGTGATCGTAGATCTGATCCAATCTGCAGTCGCTGGCTAAAGAACAGCCAGCTGTTGGGTGGTGGGATTGGGACAGAGGTAACTCAGCCATATCATGACAGTTCCATTTACTTTCCTTCCCCTGCCATGTTGTTGGTTAAAATGTTTGATGAGCCTCCAGCTCCCATCAAATTCCTGCTCTTTGCTTGCTGAGTGGAGCTGAGCAGGCAGCTGAAGACAGTGACAGGCAGGAGCTGGCATAGGGGAGCAGGGGCAGGAGAAATTACCTGAGCATCGCTTTAGGGGAAGCCTGGAGGACAGCTGGGCTTGCACTGAGAATTGGAGAGTCGGGACTTACCTACTTGTTTGGTTTTTTTAAAGCTCAACAAAGTCTGGTGTAAGATTAGTTTCCTGCAGACTTGTTCCTTCAGGAACATGATGTTTCAGTCTAGATGCCAGGGCATGGCAGAACAGCACCTGAGGATGTTCTCAGACAGATACTCATTTTTTGCTGTTGTAATTGTTCTTAATTGGTTATTAACTTCGATCCAGTTGGGGAAAAAAATGGCTCTAACCTTGATGGGCTCCACAGAGGCCTGGCACTTGAACAGCAGCACTGAGACAGCATGTGAGCCAACATTGGGTGTTTGTTCCTTGGGGCATTAACTCCTTGTTCACTGCTCCCCTGCTCACTCCCTGCTTTCTTGAATGTCAAAGTCCTTGTAGTTGATATTTATTCTTAGGTTATTTTTGTGAATCTGTTGGACTTTGTTTTAATAAAACAAGCTAAAGTTTGAATGTGAGAAGTGCCTCTGCTTGCCCACTTCTAGCAGTCCCAGGAAGCATGTAGGTATATTTACACAGTAGACACTGTTGTCCACAACCCTGGTTGTAATACATCAGGCTGTGAAATCAGGGCCTTCTTTCTGTTCCCTAGTCCACCTTATAAAAAAGTTACCCACAGTTCCCCCTTTTCCAGGGAAACTCAGATGCAGGTGAGTAATCCCATGTCCTGTAATGTGCTTTGCAATGCTCTACGCTTCTGTCTGGGTCATGCACTTGCAGCAGTGCAGTGTGGTGGGTGTGCTGGTTGTCGCAGAAATAGGACCCCTCGCCTGCCCATGCAGAGCAGAATCTCATTATGCAGAGGTCTAAGAGGAGCAGTCCGGTGAGGTTTAGTTTAAAACCTTTGCTTTGCCCCATTTCTTGCATCCAGGGTTATGCCCAAGAATGTCTTTATTTTGTGCATAACCTGTTTCAATTTTTCTCCACTAGGCGTGAAAAGGTCATATTCCCCACCTTGGTCATGGGTAAATGAATTCATTTGCAATGATAAGCTGCATGCGTTTTAACTTGGTGCTTGGAGGTGCAGAGTTGGTGGTTATGCTAACTGCATGAAGTAGTTCTTTTAGCATTACAAACTAATAGTCCATGATCAAAGCCTGGGGCTATAATCTCTCTCTTTTTACTTTGGATAAACTTCTCTGGTGCTGTGACCTGTTGCAACCATAAGATTGAGTGCTGCTTGCTTTCTTGATCTAATTAATATTTCTTCAAATACGTGCATGTTTCCTATTGAATCGGTCAAATCAGAGATACAGGATGAAGTATCGCTGCTGTTAATTTAGTTAATTTTGAAAGTTAGTTTGCCCTCTTGTCGTCTTTTTCCTTCAACGTTTTGTTGGCTATTGGCTTGCCGATGCTCGGTTGCCGTGGTTCTGGCTAATGGGAAAGCAGGCAAAGGCACAGATGTGTCGGGAGCCAGCCAAGGTGACAGAGCAGGGTGAGAGGACAGCATGGTCTGAAGAACATGGCTGGGGTTGAGGGAGTCTTGGAGATAAGGTGCTAAGTACAAAATACAGCTTGAAATAAAGATTAATGAGTAAAAAAATCTATTTTTCAGAATCACAGGACACAGAGAGCGGTTGGAAATGGGCACAAAGTCCGTGCCACTGTAGGGACAGGCAGTCAGAAACATCCATCAGAAACCACTCCAGGGGACGTTTCCAGCAGGGACTGGTGCTTTTGGCTCCCTTTGAAGCACCCTGGAGCCCAGTTTCTCAGGAAGCCCAGAGCAAGGGCACAGTGCAGGCCCCACAGAGCGTGTCGGGTCGGGTCTGAGGGATGGGGAAACGAGGCAGAAGGCACATGATCTGGCTGGGATTAATCGTTGTGAGCAGCTTTCCAGGCCATTGGGCAGTGTCAGCTCTGTGCAGCAGCCCCACACGTGTGCCAGGCCTGGGCAGAGCGGCCGAAGGCTGGAGCGATGTGTGTGCTCCTCCTGGCATTGTCTGAGACCTTGGAGACCGAGCACAAGGACTTCTCTTCCCAGCTCTCTTTTGGGAGGTTAGGCAGGAGTCATCCAGCACATCTTATTTGTTATTTTTTACAGTTGCTCTGTTTATCCTATTTTATTTTCCTTTAATGCTGTTTGTAACTACAGTAATGCTGACTTCTTTCCCTTTATTTGTGCATTTTCATGTTACCAACAGAAATCCATGGCTGGGTAAGACCTCAGTAAGCTCAGCCATAATGCCAGCTTTCAGTATCCCCCCAGTTGCTGCTACTATTTGAAGCCTTTTCCTGTGCCCCACTTACTGAACTGGCTTTCAGCAAATCAAAGCCACTGCTTTATCTGTATTTCTGCACCAAGGGCAAGTTTGGGCCAGCAGGATGCAATGAACAATGCAGGTAACTGACTCCAAGAGCTGATCTTGGGAGGAGCTGCCGCAAACAAGCACTGTGTGCTGCCTTCCTGCTTTCTTTTTTTAATTAGTAAACAACGGGGAAACCTCAAAAGGCTTCTAAATGGGGTTTCTATCTTTTCCATCTTCAGCAGAAAGCCTTCTCATGTCTTCCTGTGCATCGTAGCACTGTAAGCACTCCACATCTTGTGCTGGTTAACACTTGTAGCACTTAATGCTTGTAGCACTTATCCTCTTGCTGTCCTGGCCCTGTGATGGGGCTTGGTCTCCCTTCTTGTTTCAGACATCACTGGATTATTTGTGACACAGGTGATTTAGGCAGAGTCCTGTTATGTCCGTGTGGCATCTGTGCTGAGCATCTGATGGCTTCTGGCCTTGTTCATGTACCTCTGGGAGATGGAAAAAGACACCCAAGCTAAACATACCTCTGAGGAGGGTTAGAGATGTGTTGCTTCATTTAAAAGGAGAAACTGCCTGTAGAGGCAGGTCTGTTGGATGGTGATGGCTGCAGGGAGGCGTTCTCGCCACGGGCAGAGTTTGGATGCTGGAAACCCACTTTGGGAGCAGTTGGTGCCCCAGAAATAGCAGTATTTGAGAAGTTTGTATTGCTTGTCCTGTCCCTGCAGTAGTGCCGTGTGCTAACGCCACGCGTTGGGTTTTGATTCAAATACATCATGTCAGGGAGGCAGATAGGCAGCGGCATGGAGGAGCCTGGTGACGGGGAATGCAGCTGGCTTGGTGGGAGGGGAATAATGTGCCAAGGTTTGAGCACTGCAGGGACGTGGCCCCTTCTGCCCGGCCTCATGCAGTGCTGCGGGGGATCGCTGGGTTTCAAGGACAGGCTGCGTGGAGAGCGATGGCACTTGCTATGGGCTTGAAAGGGATCAGTTGCCCTCCCCAGCCTGCCTGTCCTGCCGTGCTGCACTGGAGGTGGCACGGGCGGCAGGTCCTGGTGGAGACCAGTGCTCGTTCAGCCGAGCCGCAGATGTGGCCAGCTGGCCCAGCGTGCTGGCGTTGGCTAAGCCGTATCCTGCACATGGCAGGGGCCGGGTGCTGTCTCACAGTGTCCATCCATTGCAAAGAGTGGCTCTGAAACATGACGAATCCGTAGAGCTTGGCTTTTACATGACTCATCAAACACAAGCACTTCCAGGCTGCTGATGTTGAATGTCACTTTTCTCTAACCCTTTCAAAAGGGAGCAAACTACCACATTTTAATCCTGCTTGGTTGTTTCGGTGTTTTGGGTTTTTTTTTTTCCCCTGTTCTACTTGGCAGGGATGTTTTCTAGCTGGTAACTATTTTGCAGAGTCATGTTGGGATCAGGTTGGCTTCATGTCCCTCCATCCAAATGCAAATAGTGAAATACACCTGCCCCTAAGCCTCTTCCAGCAGCTCTTTATTGCGTGCAGCCAGGGAGGCACTTGCCTTTTGAAATGTATCGAAGCAACACTCAAATGGGAATTGAAGTTTCCAGCTTAATGGTGAGGAGGTAGGAAAGGTGGTTTCTCCCTGCTCTGACCCAGGCTGTGCTAGTGTGGATGTTTAACAGCAAGATGGGGAAAGGAAACAGCCCGGCTCCCTACGGCAGTGAGCTGTGTTACCATGGGAATCTGTCCTTGCTAGCAAGCGTTGAGATTTTAGCTCTTCATCTGCTCTTCTGGAAGGATTTTGTAACTGCCCAGTGCAACGGCAGCAGCCTTCTGGGTTTGCTGGCAGGGTTTTTGCATCCCTGATCCAGGAGGTGCAAGGCCACCAGTGAATATAAGCAGCGCAGGAACTGTGCACCGTGCGAAAGGGAGCGTGGAAGCTGCACTGCTCTGTCCTGGGGACGCTGTTGTGAGCCACCCACGCGTGAACTGCTGGCGCATTGGTCCCTTAGGCAGTGACTGCAGCGAGCGGGACGTGCTCCTCCGAGCGCTTGCACCGCGTGCAGCCTGAGCCTGGGACCCCAGAGCCACCAGCTCCTGGGTTGGCTTTTTCCTCATTAGTAGAGCCCTCACACTTCTTTTTCTTCTTGCTTTTACTTACAGCAGCTCACTGATCTAAGCAGCAAAGGCTGTCTCCTGAAGCGTCCCTTCTCACAAACGTAGCTCTGCCAGGAGACAGCCGAATGGCATCTTCTGGGGTGCCGGTGGTTCAGGCAGAGCTGGTGAAGTGCTGCAGAGGCACTTTTTGGGAGCAGGCGGACATCGAGGCAGGGACCTGCCCTGCCTTGCAGGGGTGTGGGGGTTCGCCCCCCACCTTCAGTATTACAAACCCGACCATGAGGACAGGGTGCTGGTTCTGGGACAACAGTGGGGGTGGACCTGCTGTCCTGATACAGGGACGTAATCGCTTCTGGTTGTCAAGGCTGTGGTGGTGGTGATCAGCAGATGGTGAGCCTGGGCAGACGCTGTGTGTTGAGCCTAATTACAGAAGATCTGTCAAAGCCATAACAGAGTAGAGATGGAAAAGCTGTCAGACCCACGTGCTCCTCTCCCAACCCACTAGGAAGCCAGGTTTTCCATGCCTTCACCTCTCCCAACAGCCTGGGGAGGGGGGCAACCCGTGGATCCTGGGGGTGTGGAGGCACCCGGAGCCCCTGCCGCACCCCAGCGGGAGATAGCGTAGCGTAGAGGCAACTCTGCTGTGCTTTAACATGTGCCTGCCTGCTCTCGCAGAGCCCGTGCGCCATTGCCGTGTGTGTGTCCATCCCCGTTACTGGACAGAGCTTGCGTAGCCACCGTGAAGGACCTGGGGACGCAGGTGGAGTCGGCCCCAGCCCGCTGCACATGGTGCCGCAGCGCAGTGCGCAGCCCTGGGGGCTGCGCATTGCTCACAGGCGTCTGCAAACGGCCGCTCCCGGGCAAACAGGCAGCAATTAAGAGGGAAGGGGAGCTGATCGTGGGGACCAAGCCTGCAGCACTGCTGTGCCTGGCGCCTTCAGCTGCACAGGCCCGATCAAGTAGCCCCAGTGGGCTCAGGGTCTGCACCGGAGCCCCTTGTCCTCCCAGGCTGGTCACCTCGGCCAGCACGTGCCTGCAACGGGTTGAGCACCCACCTGCACGTGTCCCTGGCTGTGAGTGAGCACCGATCCTCGCAGCCAGAGGTGGGAGCCTTGTCGCGGTCATACGTTGGCCCCGCTCCCGCAGCCGCTGTACAGTCAGGGTGATGGATGGAGGGAGGAGAGGGGTCTATCTTCCAGCTGCTGGTGGTGGGGAGAGGTGAGCGGTGCTGTCTCCTGGGGCTGCTCATCACTTAACGGCTTGTCTCTTGTTGCTTCTCAGGGCAGTAAACGGCTTTGATCAAGGTCCCCCCGGACTGGGAGCATCCCGACCATCCTCGGCGCCTGGCATGCTTCCCCTGAGTGTATGAGCCCGCGGGAGGTCGTGTTCGGACTTGCGGATGCTTTTCTCAGCCCACCAAGAGAAGAACTGCTGCCGATTCTTCCCCATTCCCGCCCCACTGGAACACGACCTGCACCGTGCTGCCAGAGGAGACCCTGTGCTCACGGCCCTTCATGTCATGTTAATACAGTTTATTTTCTCCTGTTGCTGTAGCGGACGTTCTCTGACTTGGCTCCATGCCCTGTGCTGCACAAGCTGAGACACGCAGTGCTCTGTTTCAGGGGATGCAGGAGTCTTGCTCGCCAAACCTCGGCCAGGCAGTCCTTGGCCCCTCGCTTTATCTCTTCTCTAACTTAGGTTTGGCATCACACAAATGTTGGCTGCTCCTCTTAAAGGCTCCCCTTCTCCCTGTCTGCCTGCTCCAGCATCCTGCTGCTTGGGACGTGCAGCTGCTGTCCTCCCAGTACGGCTCTGATCTCTTGAAAGGGGCCCTGGGTGAGCCTGTGCGATGGCACTTTGGACGTTTGCGCCTGGGAATCAGGTCCAGGTACGTGACTGAGTTACTGCAGCTTAATAAATTACTGCTGGGCAGGTGCGTGGCTGTTGCTGCTGGTGCGTGTCCGCCTCCTGCCTTGTGTTTGAGCGGGTTGGAGCGGGCCAGGAGGATGGGCATATCCGGCAGCCCTGCCTCCAGCTGGCAGAGGGGGCTGAGCCCATCAGTGCCGGGCTCCTCAGGGCCAGGGCCGAGCAGGGGCAGGGAGGGCGGGAGGGAGGTGCTGGGTGGCAGCGCGCTGGGGGTGACTGTCACGGGCCCAGCACACGTCAGTCGCAACTTCACATGCCTTAGTGTGAGCTGGCAGGGCTGAGCGTTGCTGAAGCGTTCTCCCTCGGTGCTCCTACACCCACGCAGCTGCAGGGCAGTAATGTGTTTAGCCGCTGTAGCACGCTCACGGTGCCCGTGTGCCTGTAGCACAGCTTCCCAGCCCCGTTGTACCCTGCCTTCATCAGTCAGACTTCCACACGCCTCCCCAAGAGGGACTCTGTGAGAGCGTTAGGAAGTAACTAATCCAACTGGCCGTACTGCCCATGAAACCCCCCTCCCCAGACCCCATAACCATCGCACCCATGGTCCCATCTGTGTAATATATGACTGGATTTTACAGTGTCACCTACGGGCTTCTGTGACAGTTTTGGGCGACTGTGTACCTTGTGGGTCTTTCAAGCAACGTATTTGTGCGATTTCTATGTGCCTCGGAGTTGGTGGATTTTTAAAATGAACCAGCAAACCCAGCCGGGGTTTGATCTGTGGGTTTAGAAATCTTCGTTCCCAGTCTGGTCCATCTCGTTCAGTTGGCTCTGCAGCTCCAAGTTGGTTTATTTACAAGCGCTGAGAAAAACCATTGGCCCCAGCAGAAGGGAGGGGGGGAGTCCCCCCTTGCCGATAGGGTTTGTATGGTCCTCCTTTCCTGTGCATCCTCTGCTGCATTTGACTGTTTACATTTGTTTTATTGTACATAGGTTTGTAAACATAATATCTTTGCCTAAGATCTTTGTACATAACTTGGGCTTTGTAGCTTTATTTATTCAAATTCTATATGGCATGTTTCAATAGGACAGTGTACCATACCACCCTGGTGACACAGATCATGATGTGGTTTAAAAAAAACCAAACAAATGAGAGTAATCTTCCAAAAATAAAGTTCTTTTAATGTGGAATCAGTGGATTTTGCAGAAACAGTGGCAGTGGGTGTGTTTTGTCATGCAGTATTTTCTGCCAAGCCCCAGGGAGGGGTTGGTGGTGCTGAGCTGCGCTGCCATGCAGCTCCTGCTCCCCTTTCCTTGGAGCGTTTCTTTGTAATTCCGTTTGTGCAGACGGGGGAACAGCCGCTGCGGGAACAGGGGCTGAGCAAACACCTTTCCTCAGCACCTTTCCTGGCATTGAAAGTCCTGGTGGCTCAGCTGAGGCCTGGCTTTCAAGACTTGATCTGGGGAAGTGTTAGAGGCCTCCAGCTGCAGCTTCT